CAAAGTTGAACTCAGATGTATTGTTGATGTTGCAAACCAGATGTCTGTCTCCATTTATAAGATAAGTTAGGCATAATCATAAAAATATACCAAAATTGACATACGATGACCCCATTATGATAAAAGTATCCATTTGATAACCCACATCAAATCTACAGGGAAACAAAGTACAATGTATTTCGACTGGAGATGTAGAGTCTTAAGGCTTTTTTTTTTCAATTTGATGGCTGTTTACATTTGATAGCATATGAGCACAAGTTAACACTGGGGTTGACAAGTTCATGTGATATGTTTGTCGTGAAATGTCGGCCATTTGACGGATTGTACTTGAACATTGTACAACAATATTGCATCCTGGTACACACTGGTACTGTCTACACTGTATTTTACTTTTAAAGTTGAACTAAGAAATTGAATGGAGCAGGTTTGAACCTGTGACCTCCGGATTGCCGTTCCGGTGCTCTACCAACTGAGCTATCAGTCCTATGTTTGCGGTTTCCCCTTCTCGTCAATGTTTTCGTTTAAGGGGCATTAGTCAGAAGCCATACAACCCAGGCAGGAAATTTATATAGAGCGTACATAACAGTTTTTTTAAACATACATGTAAATCAAAGGGAAATTGTTAGGGAAATATGAACTGTTGCTCACATTGCAGTGAAATTTCAAAAAATAGCTCTAGAAAAAGAAATGTTTACATCTTGGCTTGTGAATTAGAACATATGCTCCAGTGGAAGGAACGTACGGGCAAACTCGCACGTAGGCAAAGCGGTTATTGTGATTCGCTGCAAGGTAGCCAGATTGTTTCCCACAATACGCCTAGGTTGTCCCAGTCTCCGTTATAGCTTCTATTGTCGACATCTTTATTGTCTGTTCCCAGGGGAGGTCCTCAATATTGTGGTGGCTGGGGTAGCTAGACTATAATATGGCCCTGGCCTGTTCTGGATGTCTGTTGTGTAATGATCTTAATTCCATATCAGTGCACTATGAACCACAAAAAATATCATACATAAAGTGGATATCATGGTTCAGTATTGGCCAGTATGTCAAGAGACTTGCAAATGTAGTATACATGTACTTGCGAGCAGATAGGCCCCGTATATGCCGAGGAACACAAGTTGGGTGCAACTTCAACAAAGTTCACATAGCGTGGCTCACATCACGTCAACGTTTCGGTTCAGCGTCCGTTCTTAAAGAAGTGGCCTTTTTTCCTGGAACCCCAAAAAGGACACCTGCTGAATTCATTTCTTTGAGTATTTGTGAGAACACCACATCGCCCCTCACGTCAGCTTGAGTGGGATTCGAACCCTCTTGCTTCAGCAGTGGAGACTTCGCAATCACTTAACGATCAGGGTAGCTCAAAGGATGGTTATTCTTCGGGTCAATTTTGTCTACGTGTTTTTTTTTAGATGAATTTACAGCAGTGAAAATACCATTGTGAAGTTGGCTCTTTTGGAAATCATTTTGCAAAGGAAAAATATCTGTGGTGGAAAGTTTTGAACTATGGGAAATGAAAAGGCCGATGAATGGGGTCAACTCATGGCTGTCAAGAGAGGTGAGCAAGGACTTGATGTTACCAAACCTGGGCTCATTATGTCAATATGTGCAACGATAGGCCGAATCAATTTGCCAAATTTTCATTTATTTTTTTCCCGTAGGAATCTAATGCCATTACGATGCCACCATCAACACAGTTGTTTTGGTTTCTTGATGAAATGAAAAAATAATAATAAATGTGCATATTTTGTCGTTACCGTACGTTCTTGATAGTATATTTTTACTATCCATTGAACCCAATTTTAACATTTTTTTGTTAAAAACAGCGTCCCGCACTCATAAAAATCCCCATATAATGGCCAATTACTCATGCAACAATGTTACTTGCAAATTTGCGCATATTTGAGGTTTTCACATTCACGCAACAAAGTCGTGTGACTAACTGCTTATTTATTCGTGCATATTATAAAAAAAAACGTGTAACATTGTCACAATTTTACCTCCATGGTCAATTTAATGCAGCTGTTATATTATTATATTTCAAGAAGTTCAATATATCATTTTCTAAATTTTGTCAGCTTTAGGCGAATTGACCAACTAACCAGATACTACGGTACATGTACACTACTCTTTTTTTTCTGTACATCTTCTTGTTTATTGATTTGCGCAAATTGAAAGACATCTTTGCCCATGGGAAACAGCCTTTCAGATTTTTAAAATTAAAAACAGACGTCAGTATTTTTATTTCATTGGAGTGTGTCCTTGGATTGTGTCATCCGGCAGTGGTTTGATAGCAGAGGTTTCATTGCAGAAATCCCTGATGGGAAATGGAGTGGCTGCAGCTCTTTTGTCTTTGAAATAACAATAACAAATTATTTCCTGGCAATTTATTTTACATGTATTTAAATCTGTGTATGGTACACGTGCATAGACATGTACTGTGTCAGTTTAGTAAATCTGATTCTTTATTTTGTTATGCGCAGGTGCATGTAGGAGGGTTGAAATTTCATTGGTAATGAATCAGTGTTTCTTCATTTGATATTGTAGATTTAATATTGTTTTGGCTCGTAATTCTTGGGAGGGGACATTAGATATCCCTGATCTTCATTTAGGACCCCTCCGCTAAAGATTTGTATCGTTTTGGTTTTGTGGTGTTGTTTACTGCAGAAGACATTTGAAAAGATTTTGCTCGCATGAAACAAAATTCCCAATTGTCGTCTATTTTTGTAAAGTTCTCACCTTTCTCCTGTGATCGAGTTCTACACAGTTCCTTATCCTTTCAAGAAGTGCCCTAAATTTTACACATTTTTCTGGAAACAAAAATTGATTACATGAATCATAGACTTCTCTTCTTGTTTTTTCTGATCCGTGCCTACAACAATATTACACTAGTACAAAAGGCACAATTTTTTTAACATGCAGCCGGTTTAATGACAACAACAACTGTTCAAATTCAAAAATCAAAAATGCTCTTGCCTGACTTGGAATGTAACGGAAAAGAATCTGAGATTCTGATGCCATTTGGTTACCTGCATGTTCATATATTTGTTTATGTAGTTTTTTATTATTAAAGAACTCGGAAATCAAACTATTCATTGAATTTACGTATTCAAAATGAACTCTTTCTGCATGTCTTTTAGTACACACATGCACTGTTCTGTCAGATTTTTTTTTAAACCATACAAAATTTATATCTATAAACGCTCTAACTTGATAATTCTGTAATTGTTTGAAGCTGTTTCATATACTATTGCATTGAATAACGGGGTCACAATCTTTTTGTCCCAGAAATCAATCAAATTACAGGGAGTAGATGAGTGGTAATGAATGGCATTGCATGCGTGGCCATGAGGATATACCGGTATCGGCATGCTAGAATAATGGTCTATTCAGATTTGCAGTGTATACATCAACTGATCAATAGACTACACAGAACCAAAAAAATGTTGGCATACTTGCAGTTTTGGTTCCATTGAATATTTTCACCAATTCTTTGGTTTAAAATCGCGCTTCCCTTTTAGTGAAAAAATTGTGTGTTTATGGTATAACCTGACTAGCCTGGATTTTTTTTGGGCCAAATTGCCGACCTCAATCTTTCCATTGCCACATTTTGCAAATATAAAATGATGTCATTGTGTATTTCAAAAATAAAAAAAGTCTTCCCCATACAAGTTTGTGTGTGTGTAATTGGTCAGTTAAATAACAAAACATGTTAATTAAACAGAATACTGTACATGATAACATGTACTCTAAAGTAAGTAAAGTTAGTATAAAAGACCAACGGACAAAAAAAGAATTTACAATATCTAATTATTTTCCTACCTACACACCTACGTGTACCTGGGTAATTATTTACATGTAGGTTGTTACTCACACAGTTTATTTTCTCGGCCTTAGCTGTGAATTGGGTGGGATTTATTTTTGATAATGCGTAATTATTACGTTATTTACAAGCAGCCTTACATTTGCATCAAGACTGTTGCCTTCAGCAAATGATTTGCACAGAATGAATTTTTCAGATTATTATATTATTATTATATTATTATTAACTGGCACGGTTCACAGATGTTCATGAAACTGGAAGTGAAACATTAATTAACAGACAAGTTGAAGGAAAAAAACACATGTATGTAATTTCATTCAAAACTAAATCCGGTAAATCTGGCACGTGCACTTAACGCAGGGTTTGTCCCCTAGAAGTTACATGTATGCGTGATGAATCACAATTCATCAAAAAGATAAACAAAGGACTCCACCCATACAAATCCGTGACTGATAAACTGGTTGCCATGGCATCTGAGCTGCAGCAAATCCTTCCAAAGTGAAAATATATTATTTGAGAATTGTCGGTCACTATTATCATGTGAATTATGATGCATTTAATGCAGTACATTTAGTCGTTTGCATGTGCATACCGAGTTTTTTTTAATGAAATTGGCAATGTGTAGCCTTTCCCCCATAAAAAAGTAAACAAAACAATGGGTGAATAGGCCCAAGAGTTTCATTTTCAAAATTCTCAAACACTGTTTACAGTATAGCATACTCATATTCTTGGCCTGTAGAGAGTTGTGTCAAAATATAAACGTGTGTGCTGTAATATTGATTGGAAATTCATTTAAACGGCACAAAAGGCACAAGGACGCTTAATTCAATACGTGTATATGCACACGCAATGCGTGTGCATACATGTACGGTATGTACATAAGACATGGATGAAAAGAAACCATGAACAGTATACAGTCTCTCCTATCTTGGTTAAAATTAACTCTGGTTGCCATGGCAATTCTAGGAATGCATCATTGCTTCTTATTGGTCCATTTACTTTTCCCAGGGTCTGAGCGATCGAGAGGTGTCGGTACTTCGTTGATTTAGACGTTCGCAAGCTTGAAAGCTAATGTACGGGTACATAATGCAATGGATCTGTAGACATGACTGTGTGAGTTTGAAGGGATCAGTGGAACCAAAATATTCGTTTAGTTTTTTCTTTGTTTCTTTTTTTTTTACAGCCCTCTGTGGTGATCGTGTCGTTCAGATGACCAAGACCTACAATGACATCGACGCAGTAACCAGACTTCTGGAAGAGGTACATAATTATTGCTTTATTTAATAAGTTTGCAGTTTTAAACATCAAGCACGATTTTCAACTAAATGAGATGTAGAATAAGGCTTGTTATAAATGCACTTGAATATTGGACGAGATAAGTCTAAAAATATGCATGCAGACAGATGTCTCCTAATATTTGCACACTTGCACATAGACGTCCAGGTTTTTTTTAAAGTTGTGTTAATGTTTATTTATTCAAGCTCTTCAACTGATGAATTGTGTACACAAATGGACCTCTCTGTGAGCATATAATCTAAGTAGTGTGGCTGATGTCCATCTGTACATGAGTGTGGATGCTATTTGATAAGGGAATAATACGGTAGTGAGGTGGGGCAGTTTTAAACAACTGCTTTAAAATCGGTTAGGAGACTGGTCGGCCAATAATGGCAACTAGGCACATACCCGGTTTTAAACCAGACATTAAATACTGCTCCAGCATACTATTATTCCCATTCATAAATACCTTTTTAGTCTAAAACTTTGAAAAAGTAGAAAATAACAAAATCCCGACGATGTTTTGTTCAAGAATCTTACGTTAAATTGCTATCCATGTTCGGGGGCCATTTCTATGAACGGCGAATGTGATTGCCGTTTTTCCACCCCACCCCCACCCCCTCCCCTGTGAAAAAAACCAAAATAACACCCTCAAAGAAAGAAGGAACTTTGAGGGGTTGTTAAACATTAAAGTCCCTTGTTTTCTTACCTTTATTTTCAGTCATACTTTTATCAAAAAGCGGGGATTTTGTTATTTTGGGCTTCCGCAATTATCGGTGACCAGGCTCCTACCATGTTTTACATGTAAACCTATTAACATGTAAACATGTAACAAAATCCCTATGATATTTTGTTCAGGACTTTTACGTTGAATTGCCATCCGTGTTCGGAGTCTTGGTTAGTATTATATAACCAACATACAGATCCTTGTCATTTGATTGGTGGAACTCACATCACGTGGCATTCATTATTGCTCCCATTCATGCCACAGCTCAGAAAGTACTATCCGCCCATGGGGAATGGGAAATACTATTCAACAGTTAGGATCATGACGCGGTATTTGTGTGCAAATGCATGCTGATGTGCGCGTTCAGCGTTGCGCGTAACGTGTATTGTTCCAAAGAGCCAGCAATACAGCGTTGGGTTCAAACATTTTTGTGAAAGGGTGGTTTGGAAGAGAGAAATACATTTTCCTCCAGTTTTGTATTGAAAAAAAGTTCAAATATATCAAATGACAAGAATCTACCGGTATATGTCAGTTATATAAAACAAATATTGAGTGGCTTTAAATTGTGAAATGGGAGGAATATTATCGCTCGGTAAAATCTGGACTTTTCCAGTTCACTCGGCTTCGCCTCGTGAAATGGAAAAGTCCAGATTTTACCTTGCGATAATATTCCTCCCATTCCACGCTGAGCCACTCAATATTTGTATAATATGCAGCACAGTATTGACAGTGGATTTTTGTCCCATATCCGGAATAAATTATAGAACTTACATTGTGTACATACACACAATTCTGGCATGTTTACCCAGTATGTCATTACTGCTGTACTTAAAAAAAGACACTCTTTTGAAATCGCACATTATTTTCAAAATACCTGATGATGGTTGTCAGGTTAAAACAAAATAGGAATTTCAATTGACTTGTGATGTTAGTGGCCTGACATGAAAAATTAAATGCAAATAACTCAAACCTTGGAGCACAATTTTTAAGGATATTTTCCAAGGCTTCTGATAAAGCTGAACCCGCAACCAAGCCAATATTTGGTAAACATTATGTATACACTTGTCAGCAACTGTACTGATTGGTCGGTAAGTCAGATGAAGCGGTCTGATTGGCTAGAAAGCCACAGTCAATACGCTCCCAGGATTTCAGTTATCGTCTTTTCTCTTCTTCCAGAAAGAGAAAGACTTGGAGCTTGCCGCCAAGATTGGCCAGTCCTTACTAGAGCAGAACAAACAGCTGGAGAAACGCATTGATGCCATCGAGGAACAATTCACGCTAGCTGCTGACCAGGTAAGATTCTCAGATTTATTGCAAATGTAAGTCTTTGTTTCTGAGGTACTAATGGATAGATAAAAGCGACAACAATAAACAACACTTGAATGTTTGTGCAAGTTTTCTTCAGCTACCTATTACACGGGTAGATTCTAGAAAAGTGTTTCAACACTTTTAATAATGATGTCCCAGAATGCTTTTAACCTTAGTTTGTAGATATGAGAAGAAATTTCAGTGAAAGATATAGATTTGTTATTTTTTAGACATCGTTGTGTTAACCCACAAAAGGTTAAAGGGCATCTAGACATAAAATTTGGACATTGACCCTGAGTAGCACACTTCAGTTTAGACTTACTGATGTCTGTGGTCAAGTTATCTTTAATTCCTCTTTTTTTTCTCTTCAGAATACGCAATTGAAGCACGATATGAAGCTCAAAGAACAGTTACTCAGGATCTACACAAATGAGGTCAGCTACAGTGACTCGGAAGACGACACAGCTCAATGGTAAGGCATCTGTCTGTCTGTCTGTCTGTCGGGCTGTCTGTCTGTCGGGCTGTCTGTCTGTCTGTCTGTCTGTCTGGGGAATTGTGCTCAGGTTTTGTTATTAACCCTAACCCTCCCAGATCTATCAAAATCCAACGGACGGTTTTGGAAGACTTTGCAGGATGTGAAGGGAAGATCTAATCTATTGTTGAAGGTTGGGCTTGAAGCTCCTTGGAAGGTGGAGAAAATCTGAAAGGAAGAAAAAGTGCCGTTGGTTTAACGGGACATGGAAAATTTTTGTGAGGATCCAGGAAGGTTCATACTAAAAGAAAAGTTTAAGGATTTATCAAATCCCAGTATACTTGATCATTTGTAACTAGTACAGAATGCTAAAAAAGATCAGATCAGATGATGGGCTGTAAAAGGATCAGATCACATCACTCTCATCCTCAACAAGCTACATTGGTAACCGGTTAAATACAGAATTCAGTTCAAGATCCTGCAACTCGCATTCAAGATGCTTCATGGCTCTGCCCCTCTTAATCGCAAGAACATGCTGCAACCCCGCTCTGTCAGGTCGGGTCTTAGGTCTACCAGCAATAGTCTCGGTATTCCTCGGACTCGACTCGCCAGTTATGGAGACAGCTTTTTCTAGCATTGCCCCTCGCCTATGAAACTCACTTCTGATTATGTAAAGCAAGAACGTGGCATTACACACTTTCAGTGGCAGCTCCAAGCGTACCATTTCTTACTGAACTTTCCACCCCAAACACAAACTTGAGTTTTCTCTACTCCATCTAGACCGGTGCCTTTGAATGTCTTACAGATAAAGTGCGCCTTATAAGTGCTGTTTATTATTTTTATTATTATTATTAAATCTCCACCTTGTTATCCTTAGTCACGACAGAAGCCATGCTGTCCAGTCCAAGTTTATCAACGTGGAAGCGCTGCAGAAGAAAGTCCGCATCTTGGAGGAGGAGAACTTCCAGCTCAGGATGGAAACGGCTGAGATGAAGACTAAGACAGTCAGCATCGAGGAGAAAGAGGCACAGTTGGTCCAGGATGCTTTCAAACAGCTAGGTCAGTCATACCCTTTCCCAGCTCTTGCTCTGCTAGACCCTCCAAAACTCTCTACTATTTACATAAAATGCACAGGCATTTCTACAGAGATAAGCAGCTATGGAAACCTAACAAAAAAGTCTGTCACGAACCAATATGGCCCATCAGGCCGGCGTTTATCTCCGGTTTCAGTGATATGAAACGACTGAGAATATTTCTCATTTCTCCCTGGATGGGATGCCAGTCCATCGTAGGTTACTCCCCAGCTAATGCCAGTACCCATTTATACTCCTGGGTGGAGAGAGGCAAGTGGAGGTAAAGCGGCTTGCCCAAGGACACAACATATCGCCAGCAGCCGGATTCGAATAAGGGATGTCAAAATACGGTAGTTGTCATACATTTAAGAGGAGTAGAAATTTGCACAAAATGTGTTCCTAAGAAAAAGTCATTCATGGACCCTTTAACAGAAGGTAGTCTTGTATAATTGTTCATCTCCTGTCACTTCTGAAATACTTTTATTTGACTTATGATCTATGCAACTACTATTCTGTCATCTTGTCTTGTGTCTTAAATGTCCTTTTTGTTTGTCTTCATTATTTACAGGTGAGGCACAGGGCCGGGAGGGGGTGCTTACTGAGGAGCTGAGCCGGAGGTTGGAGGAAACTTATCAACAGAAAGATGAGATCACATGCCTGCTGACCCAGGTGGTGGAACTGCAACAGAAGGTCAAAAAGGTCAGTCCGAATCAAAAGGTTGACATGGGGTCATATCCACAGTAACAGAGGGAGCGTCTCAAAATCTTACAGCTGCTCATTGCTTTCCAAACGCTGCTCAGTTGATGTGATTAATTTCCGCCAGGGGAAAAAAAGGTTCATGCACTTAAATTGTGTTCCACTTATGTGAATAATGCATGAGAGATTCTAAACATTGACAGCATTGGGTTGTTCGTATGAGTACATCCTGTGTTTGAGGTTAGGTGTAATGGTACTGTCCCTGCCTTCCACCTGTTGTGACCTGAGTTAGAATATCACAAGGCCACAAATGTGGATTGATTCCATTTTTAAAAGAAAATTTGCAATACATATCTGGGCGTTTCCTCCCACTTTTAAAAATATTTCTTCACACGTTTCTTCAGGCAATATTGCCTATTGCGTTCTTGTACTTGGTTTCATTATCAGAAACCAAGAATAATAGTTACAAATGTAAAAAAAATAATAATTTCATGTGCTACTTGAACCCTTTGGAAAACGTTCTGTCTGTCAGACTTACAGCAAAGTTGTCTGATTCTTGTTCCTATATTGACAGTTGTCCATTGAGAATGAGGAGTTACAGCACCAACATCATGCATCTAGGGAGGCACAGCAGTCACTCACCAAAGAGGTACGGTCAGGTTTAATTGGTCACCTATCTGAGGATTTTGGGAGACACAGAGTTAAATGGTTAGGTCCGAAGCAGATTTTAAGCATGCCAAAACTATTCCTCTTGGAAAGTTAGTAATATTGTCAATAATATTAGACTCCTTTCTTGTGAGCAGGGATCAATTTCATGTTTAATGGTCAGCAGAAAAAAAAAAGTCAGTTTAGCGGAAAAAGTTATGACCTCAAGCGTATTTCAAGGCCTTGGTACATATCCCATGCACATGCCTTGTGTAATTAGTTTCAGCAAATTAGTGCTGTGCTTTCTGCTTACATTCTTTACAACAAAAATCCATATATGTGGCACCATGAAATTCGACCAAGCTATGCCATCATTTTCTTCTTCATGTAGTTACAAGAATCCCGAGACAAAGCTGATGAATACTTCACCATGCTGAACGAGGCTAGGTCCGAGGCTAAGGAGATACACCGACGTTCCCTACCAAAGGGCAACCTACAGCAATATTGCATGAACCCATTACCAGTCTTCCCAGCGGTAAGTCTTTCACCCTCCAAGATCCTTCAGAAATCCCTCAGAGTATTGAGAAAGATGGAATCCACAGCCACTTTCACTTTCCGATTCTGAGCATACTTCATGTTGTGCACATTGGCATGAATACAGTGTGTCTGAGGTATACTCAGAATTTTTTTCTGGGGTCTGAGTGCCTTAATTGTCAAGACTGAGGATAAATTTGATTCGTTAAATTTGACAAAACCCGCTACTGCCTTGGCAGATTGGCTGCGCATGCCAGGAGGATAGGGTTCCCAGCCACTCTGGAAATCATGGAAAACCTTGAAAATGAGTTTCCACTTTTCCAGTCGCGGAAAGCTCAGGGAATTTGGGAAAAACAGCTAGCTTACCACCTGAATACTAGCTTAAAGATACAGTAGATCATTTGCAGCTATCCAAAAAGTAACTGACCAAGTTATTGTTAAAAAGCTTACTTGCTTTAAAGATAGTAGTGGCACTAAACTCCCTGTGAAATTATTCCTTCTGGCATGCTGTCATTTTGAAGAAAACAATAAAAGAAGGTCATTTCCAAAGATGAGTCAAGTGACGCATTTTTGGAAATTTCTGTTAGTAGTTGGTTTGTAATAGGGCGAATCCGTGAATGGGTGCGCACACAAGCGTTGGCACAACTTCATCAGGTTAGTTGTTAAGCACCTGTCTTTAGATTTTGAGCACATTTGTTGCTTCAAACGAAAAAAAAAAAAATGCACAAATGACAAATTATCTACCCTACCTTTAACACCTGAAGTTGGCAATGTTTCACATGAGGTAATGAATAATTAATTTTGTTGTTGTTAATGTTTCCCAGGATTCCTTGGCCGCTGAGCTAATCGACACCGTGGAGCAGGAGCTAGCCGGATCAAATTCCAAACTCAGCAGACGAGGCAATAAAAGGTACATGACTCATCGGCAAATTCATTTTCGCATATCTTTTTCGTAGTTGCATATGTGATCTATCAGCCAACAGATAGTCGGAACTAAGTTGCTTTGGATGCTGATATTCTATATTTGTGGAATAATCTGGAAACGAAAAAAGGAATTGGAATTTTGATCATACTTCTTGAAAAAAAATGGTAGGCAAATATTTTTAAAATTCGGAAAAACAAAGTATGATGTGAACAATCACAAAAACTTGAAATTTGTTAGAGAAAATCGGACAATCTTGTTTTTGGAGGATTGAGATTTTGACAATCTTTGACCCTCTTCCGTATCCAGAGAACAGAACAAGAGCATCATGCGGTCGGTGAAGGACCTGAACCGTGCCTCCAATAGCCGCGCTCCGTCGGAGTACAGCGAGGACATCTACAGCAGTCGTCGCACGTCACCAGGGAGCTCGACCATGTCTTTGGCGGGGTCGACTCTGAGTGAGGCACCGCTGAGCGAACAGTATGAGGGGGATAACGAGTCTAATAACAGCCCGTCTGGGTGAGTAGTCCAGTCCTGGTAGTCGAGTCCATCACAAGTGGGGTTACAAAATGCAAGGGATTTTTGTTTGACTTGTAAGGACTTACATGTATGAGGATGTGTAATAGACTACAACACCGCTCAAGTGTAGACTGAGACGTAAAGAAAACTGTAGAAAAACCTGCAGTAGTTGTTGAGGGATTCAATGTTCATTTATGTATTTTCCACAGCATCAAATCAATAAATAACAATCTACAGATACCATAGAAAGTGATATTTTAAAGACACTGCAGAAGGGCCCATTAAGAAGCAGAGCTTTTAAGCATGGGCCCCAGACAGGCATGCTCTTTACTCATGATCAAATTAAGAACGTGCATAGAAAATTATCACTGACAATATAGGTGCTTGAGTTGCAGTGCGATTTGGCAGAGTTGGAATCGACTCAATAAGTAGTGAATCACAATTGATCACAAGTAAAGTCACAAGTCAAATCACAAGTCCAGTCACAAGTCCAGTCACAAGTAATGTGATGTACAAGAACAAAGCAGTGGCTTTTTTTCACAGTTCATTTGAATAGCTTGTGACTTGATTCAGGGCTGGAGGACTTGCAACAGACTTGTGAAGACTTGTGATCCATCGCAAGAGCCACAACTACAATTTTCTGCTAATTTTTCTTGACCTTTTTTTTTTTACCCTCACATCTCACATCCCCAGCTCTGTGCATCACCTTGGCCGGGCAGGCATCCCGGGCTCCAACGACTTAGAAACCGCCCTCCGTCGCCTGAACCTCCGCAAGCAGAACCAAGACGCGGAAGCCAAGTACGCAGAGGAGGAGAAACTGCGTCTCTTGCAGGAGTCGGACCAGGGGACAGGGGGCTCCCGGACCCCTACCTGCCCGTCGCCGGGAAGTATCTGGTCAACGGAGAGCTTCGCTGGGTTGCCGCCGATGAGTGGGCACGGCTTCAGGTCCTACATGCCGGAGAAACTGCAGATTGTCAAACCGATGGAAGGTGAACATCATTCAAAAGTGGAAACAACTTTTTTAAGCTGTTCAATTGTTAATATAGCATATGCTAATCAGCAAATTGAGATCTTCTCCTCCCATTTCAGAATATGGGAATGTGGTTCTTCCCTACGTGTCATTTTGGGTCTTCACAATCATGCCGCTGTGTGTTTTAGACTCTCAGTTAATACTAAAGAGGGTACTCAGTTCAAGAACAATTCCCACTCATTTGTCCCAGTTATCGAAATATTCGAAACATTTTGTGCTGTACTGCAAATTGGACATTTTTTAAATCCCAAAGTCGCTAGTTTTCCCAGCCAATAAGGCTGGTTACATCTTGAAGGGTTTGAAAAGCAAATCTGACGTCACAAACCATAAGTAGTGGAATTTGCTGGAGTTGAACCAGTCCTTAACTAGGTGCGTTGACCTTACTTTTCTCCTTGTCCATTTCAGGTTCCTTGACGTTGTACCACTGGCAGCGTTTAGCTCAGCCTCACATGGCCAGCATGTTAGATTCCCGGCCTGGTATCATGGTCAAAGGCTTCCGTGAGCTGGAGAGAGACATGAACTCCATCTACTCCATGGATGATGTGGAGGATGATGGTAGAGTCATCGGTAAGAATCATAGAGGGCTTGAATTGTCAATCGCAAGTCAATCACAAGTCAGTCACAAGTCAATCACATGTCAGTCACAATTCAATCACAAATCAATCACAAGTCAGTCACAAGACAATCATAAGTCAATCACAAGACAATCATAATCAATCACAAGACAATCATAAGTCAATCACAAGTCAATCACAAGTCCATCACGAGTCAATCACAAGTCAATCACGACTCAATCCCAAGTCAATCCGAAGTCAATCTTAAGTCAATCACAAGACAATCATAAATCAATCACAAGACAATCATAAGTCAGTCACAAGTCAATCACAAGTCAATCACGAGTCAATCACAAGTCAATCGTGACTCAATCCCAAGTCAGTCCGAAGTCTATCTTAAGTAAATATCACGAGTCAATCACAAGTGGATCACAAGTCAATCACAAGACAATCACAAGTCAATCACGAGTCAATCACATGTTAATCACAAATCAATCACAAAATTGGCATTTTTCATTTTCACTAATACAAAACTCGAAGCTTCACAGGCCTTTTCCTCAGTATTATTCTTTCTTGATAAGTCGATAATTGTGAACTTTAAACAGTCATAACTTGTCAACAGAATGTCCAATTGAAGTGCAATAAACAGTAATGTAAGGAACATGTTCTTTTCTTTCCTAATACCCACAAACCGTTAATTCAAACTCTGCCCAATTCTCATTTTGCCGAAACACCTCGCATTTGATGACACAAAATCGTCAGTATCTACTCGTTTAAACGTGTGTAGCTTGTAAGAATTTGCAGCATGCAAACTTGACATTACGAATACACACTCACGTGCTTTGGCGCCGAGTGTGAATAGGCCAAGACTGCTAATAAGCTAGTTTAAAAATTGAGAATAGAATAGAAAATAAGAATGAAATTGACATGAATCGATATTGAATGTTATAAAAATCTGTTTGTATTTACAGAAAGGACTTGCGTTCCCAGTAAATGCTTTGTCAATTCTTCAAGTACGTACACCTATACCACAAGCACCATCGGCCTACTGGATAACACGCTGCTCACCTCCAGGTAAGATTGCTCCCATTCTAGGCATACCCAGGTTCAAGCCCCGCTCCAGTCAATTTCTTTTTTCAACTTTTCAATAATTCAATTTAAACTTCCTCCTTAAAATACATTCATAAACTTCAGTTGATAATCGCAATCAATTATGTCTTTTTCCCTGCACAGTACCCAAGGTCCCAGGATGGCCAACACTGAATACATCAGCAAGACACCTAAGCCTGTGGCTGCCAAGACGTTCAGCACCTCGCTGGGCCTAGCCCAGGTCTTGAAGGAACGGGACGTGGACCAGTCCACCGAGCCCAAGGTCCTGACCAAGGTCGAAGCAGCTGCCATCAACCCAGCTGGGGTCAACGCTGGATTGAACATGTTTGGTGCCTCGACGCACGTACCATTGAAGAGCGCCTCGGAGGCCAAAAGGGAAGGCGCATCACCGTTGAATTTGGAGGAAGAGCCGCAACGGATGCACCGCATCTCCAGCAGGATCTTCTCCCGTTTCGCCGTACCGGTGCGCTCCAAGAACATCACGGATGCACTGGACCCGGAGACCAAGACTCGTTTAATGGAAAAGGTCCGGAAGATCCGTGCTGAGAAGGAGACCTCGGAGCATCGGGCGCGGACGCTGCAACGCCGGCCCAGCATACCGAGCGTACGCACCCGGGACGTCGTGATGAGTCCCGTTCGGACGCCCAGGTCATCCGCACCTGGCTCCTCATCATCAGCACTGTCTGTAGAGAGTTCCTGCATGGGTATAGAGGGAGCCGTCAGTGGCTACAGTCCACCAGGGGTCTTCGGCTCGCATACTGGAACAGTCCACCGTAGCAGTGGCCTCAGCACTGACTCTAAAGACTCTAAAGTCCCAAGAAAACTCTTCTTATCTGACGACTCGGGAATTGAACTTGGATTCGGTACCACCATGCCCGCACCAACCGTGACTGTTTCTAATCCCCCATTTCAAATGACCTTCACGGGAACTGTTTCTACCACCTGCAGTGTGCCGGGCTTTAATACTGTTCTATCAGGCTCAATTCACTCAAACTCCATGTCAAGTTTATCTAGTTCGGCCAAATCAACAAGTGTATACAGTAATAAGGGTAGTCAATCCAACAGTTCAGCGCTCAGGAGCCAACCGGGTTCCCATGGTGCCGGCTTACTCGGTGCACTCGGCTCCACGGAGACTGTTTCTAGTCTCCTCAAGCAACAGGGTCCTCGCAGCACAGGCCAAAAGTCCACTGTTTCTAGTCACCCCAGATCTTCTGGAATCCACACGTACGGTCAAGGTGTAATGAGCTCTGGTGCCCAATTGTCATCAGCTCAACAGGGTTGCGCTTCCCTTATACCATCGGGGAGTACGACTAGCCGGCCACGTTCGTCAGTCATGCCTATTTATTCAAAATCAACAGAAACATCTCAATCACTGGTACCCGGTGTAGGACTAGCATCACTACTCGGTGCATCCAGACCGTCTGTGCTTCCCATCGGAGAACAAAAGAAAGAAGGGCAGAGCCAAAACGAAGGTTCGGCCGCGCAAGCCACAGCCCAACGGATCACAAGTCCCATATCAATGCTGGCAGGACACCTCCCCTCTTTAAACAGCGCCCGTAAGCCAGACCCTACGCTATAGCAGAAGAACAATGTATGCAAACGCGCCAGTGTGTGTTTTAGATTTAGTCGACAGAAGTGTCTGCGTGTCAGAGTTAACTTATAAAGTACAAAGTTGAATGCTTAAAACTGTAAAGTATAACAAATGGAGTGCTATTTGTGATGGTTAAATTCAGTCAAACTGAAAAACCATTCAATGCAACGGATACTGAATCATTGCCGATGTTTAACAGGATTAAACTGAAGTTGATAAAGCTGGGCTACGGTACAAGCAGACGTGAAACGGCTTGTAAAAACTAGTAAAAAGCCACACAGAACAAGTGTCATTTGTCCGCTAACAGAACCCTTTTGTAAAATGCAATGATCCTGAAAAGGGCGCAGGTGCTGTGACCACAAAATCATCAGCTTATCAGTCAAGTAGAAAATCTTGCCAAGCAGATTATGTCCACGCTAAGCAAACTTAGCGGAATACCAGTCACAAGCAGTGTACATTGCATGGTGTTTTAGCTGGTGACCTGCTTTGGTAAGCACATATCTGTACCTAGCAAATTTGTCCATGCTTAGCTGCTCATTGATATTGACCCCTGGAAACTACAGCGGTGACAATAAATGCAGTTTCTAAATTCTTTTAAAAGCAAATTTTAGCAAATTTTGCTTTTGTCAAGAAACTTGAGGATGTATTTCCAAACCAATGTTCTGTTAAATCACAATTTGAATTTTTGAAATGGAATTTACTTATTTTAATCAGAGAAGCAATATTGCAGCAGATTTAAGAATTTTTGTTACTTTGTGATTTGAAATTTTCAAAAATTTATTGAGTGAATGATTTTTATTTTGATACTCTTAACTTTTTATGCTGCGCAAACAGTTTTAAGTTCCAAAAAGTGCAATATAAGTTTGGTTTACGTTATTGCTGTAAATGTGTGCTTTCCGTTGTTTGTTTGTTTTGTTTGTTTTGTTTTAAGATTTGCGTATGCTCAGGAACGGCCATGTGCAACTTGAGGAATCAGAAACGAAATGGCAGTGAAGTTATTTTATTTGGCGTTGTTAAAAAGTCTTTTTGTGCAGCGTGCTTTTGCAACTGTCAAGTGACAAACATTTGCACAGCTCATAAGCAGTCATTGTTTTGTTTTTTGCAGGGATTTGAGTTTTAATAATTAAAGCAACTTCAACTTATTCAGGAACTCTCCTAGGTTGCAGTATTGTACTCTTCACTCTAATCTCCACACTTTTATGAATTGAGAAATACCACCTGAGCAGACATAGACAGCCTGTCTCAATTCATATCTGGGACGAGTTCTCAACAAGTTCCGGACATTGTATCGGGTATAAGCTGCAGGATTCTGAACAACTTCCCCGCAATCTTCCCGCAATGAAGTTATCAGTATTGGTGAATCAAGCAGTTGCTGACAAAAAAATTTCGGAACATGGCCGGGACAGATGCAGAATTTCTGCCCGACAAAGTGAACGATTCTACCCGTAACTTATCCGAAACTCGTCCCAGTTACGAATTGAAATGGGCCTCATATCTTTATCAATTACTATCAAATCCTTTTTGCAGACTTAACCCCACCCCCCCCCCCATTTATTGCCCTGTCGCTGTCACCACTTGTTAATTTAATCATTATATGCCTCTGAAGTGAAGACACCGTTCTTCATTGCTTAATTCACTCTGATCTGGTGCAGTTACATGTTCATCTGAAAAATCAAAAACAAGAACTACGTTTTGAGGATCACTGTCTGTTGTGTTACTTGTCTGTCATAGGTCTCCCAACCTGAATTTCATCTAACACTTCTTAAGGCTTATTAGTGACGTTCGAAGGACAGTTGAATAAATGTGTTTCATCTGCCTTTACGTGTTCTCCATCCAGGTTTTCTATTGCATGATGATTTGATACATTTTGAACAACCAAATATTGTTTGTTTTTAAAATACATGTAGGTAACAAAAAATGGACACTTAAAAGAACAATTTCAAGCAATTGTTAAAATTCTTTTTACTTTGCTTTTTAACTTCCCCTAAATTTATAACTGTAAAAGTATGTATGTATGGACTTATTAATGAGTAAACAGTTTTTAGCCCAGTGTACATGCATTAAACTGATATATCGTGTGCCCAAGGCTTTACCCCTAATATATGTTCTTAAATATCCTTAATATAGAAATCAAGCGTTGGTGTTGATATATAGAGATTATATAAAACGAGACAAAAATGCCGTATCTAACAAATCCCAGATGAATTATTAAAATAAATGTAAAATGTGAGCGTAAATACAGCACTGTTGATGTGGGCTGGTGGGAACTTGTTTTGTAACAAATGTATTGTCCTTGTTTTGTATGTTGATAAACATGTCTGAGTTGACAAAAATGTTTTTGCAGTTGAAAAAGTCACTCTTCTAATCAGTCGTCCTGTCTAGCCTGTTCTCCTTTCGGAATCCTATATCCCTCTTCAAAAACTTGTTCCAGTTAGAAAAAAAGTAACTAAAACCTTGGCATCCAGTTAAAGATATAGTCCATCATTTGTAATTTGTGCATTTTGTTCGTTTGAAGCAACAAAAGTGTTCAAAATCTAATGAAGGATACTGAACAACTAACCTGATGAAGTTTCAGCTCAGCTTCAACTGCATATTCCGAGAAAAACAGCATTCTAGGATCTCAATTTTAAATCAAAAGTTGCCGAATCATGTTTTGAATTGTTTTGAATTGCAGCTATACGCGATGTCGCGCACTGATCCGACGAATTATAGCCTGTGCGTCGTGCCAATGCTTGCGCGCGCTTCGCTGAATAACAAAACGAACTACTAATTTAAATTTTCCTACGGTGTGTCTTAAGACGCACCGTTGGGGAGGCCTTCTTTCGTTGATTACTTCAAAATGATAGCTTGCCAGAAAGAATAATTTCACAGGGAGTTTAGTTCCCTTACTATCTTTCAACCAAGTATGTTTTTCAACAATAATACGCCAGTTACTTTTTCGGATGGCTGCAAATGATGGACTATAGCTTTAAAGTGACAGTTGGGTGACCAAAGCCAATCAAGTTTGTGTTGGCAAGTATGCAGCAAGAAACCAGATAATCACTACACATCTCCCCTCCCAACATTGAACCAATTTCCCCCGTTGTTCCCAGTTGTCTTTTATTAAACTGATTTTAAAAAGTTAATTTTAATGCTGAATACTGACGCTCTCTGTAATTGTCTTACTCTGAAATTTACTCGCATCTTATTATCAATATTTAATTTGGTAATCCTTATATTTTATCATTCTCATGTAAAACTGTTTTCCGTTTTTCCTATTATTTATTTTATAATTTATTTTCCTTTTCCTGTCTGCTATTGCTGTTGTTTTCCCCTTTTCTTTCACATTGTGATATGATTTCAAATCCCTACCTCCGTATTCAATTGTATAATTAATTTTATTTGATGAGAATATACTATTCTTTCATGAATAAATGGTCAAAATAAAAAATCTGCATGGCTTTCAATTAAAACTAATACATACCATTGTATTTGTTTTCTTCTTTTGGATTTTAAATTCTCAACATATTTATGATCACAGAAAACTTCTTGCACACACATTCTTATGTGTTACACTGCATCTGGGTGTCAATTCAAAAAGAGGATCCTCCAAAAATTGTAATTTTTTTGGCCAAAATCATTGACCAATGTTGTCTTTTTAACAAATTCTTCAACAGTTGACACTGCAGTATGTTAGCCTCTAACAAAACTGAACCAAACACCTGCGATAAACACCATAATGATTAAACTGCAAGAATAATACATCAATACTTTCTCAGATTGTACCAACACAAAGTCTTTATTGGAAATACAGCATTTTATTCCAAATTATAACAAGGCACGACTAAAGCAAATCCCTGCTTTGTCTTTTATATTTGAATGGACGGAATACAAGTAAAGGAAATTTTAAAAGAATTAATATAAATCTATAACAAATCTTGTGGAAAACATAGATTTTGATTTTCAAGGTGATTAAAAACTAACACTGCATTCATTTACAAACCATGTCAATTATTTACAAATTCCTTATTGAAGATAAGACTATATAACCCATTTAATGTCTAAATTTTGTGTCCTGACATGGAAATTTGTTTTATTCAAAAATTATTTACAACTGGATGACTGAAAGGTACTTCCACAATTGAAGCTCAAAGACCAAGGTAAACAAAAATATTGTCAAAACTAACCACAAAATTCTACCATTACCAATGCTGTCATTTTGTATTTTCAAGTATTTTTTTGTATGCCTTTTTGCTGTTCAAACTACAAATTTTCTTGAAGAAAAAGCCCACATTATAAGCCATATGGTACAGACAGTCGTATTTTTGGTGGTAAATTTCTTTTTCAAAAGTTTTGTGGGGAATTCATTGGCTGTAACACCAAAAACTATTTCAAGCAGAACTCAAACCTTATGGCTCTGCTCAAAATATGGAAGAGACCAAATTAATATTTAAATGTGTTAATCCAGTAAAACACAAAATCCTTAGAAAATATAAAATGAATATACACACTTTGTGAAAATGCCATTCAGTGTTAAGCCTGGTTTCCATATTGATGTTCAGCTTATGCAGACTACACAGACAGTGCGTGGAACTGTCGGCAAAGTTGAACCGTGTTCAATTTTGCCGATCGTCTTCGAGGTAGTTTACGTCCGTCTTAGTTGTCGGCGACACTTCCGAATGAAATGTTTCCATATGTCTGCGTTGCAGTTTGGTCATGTTGGCGTTTCTCTTTGCTTTTCTTACGTTGATATGGAAACTAGGCTTTAGATGCATGTATAAATAACATATGTTTACGACCTATGTAACAAGAGCCTTGAAGTTGAATTTTCTGCTTCTAAATGCGACGATACCCCACAGTTCATGGCTTTGCAAGATCCAGCAGTTAAACAATGCGGCGTGACGAGAATATCAAATAATAAATGAGAAGCGTTTCTCTGTGGAATGACCCAATGCACACCGCGGATTTCTGTTTGTGTTTTTGTCTATTTATATCGAGCCTTCTCATTGGCCAGTGCCAGTAGTCTGATGTTACCAATGCAGCCGGCTGCCGCTTCTTGTAAGGCAAAGTCCTCAGAGCCCACCATGTCGATCAACGGCTGAAAAGATGATACAAAAATACAAAGAAGTATGTTATTGCCACATCAAACCTACTCTTTAAGGCTGGTTTGTTTTCAACACAAAAACCTGCTTGCACATGAATTTGTGGAGTCAAGGCAAGCGTTTGTGCTGCAAATTTGCAAAGATGGACACACGGTCAAGTCCAGCAAGTTTGGCTGCAACCTTTTCTCAGCTTTAAGTCACTTCACATTCCCATTCACGTCAAGCATGAACTGGCCTGTGACCAACACAAGCCTATTTGTCAAAGGTAATGTGTATTCACTGTAGTATATCAATATCCAAATCAGACGTGTCTGGCAAAATCCAATATTGAATCTACATCACCCCGACGCAAATTTCATTTATGAATATCTTGATTAAAACAGAGAGTTGAAAAAATCTGGACGTCTGCAGCCATCCATAGCCATTTCAATTCTGGCTACTTAAAGTTTAAAAAGATTCCAAAATTGACTGGCAGTATAATTTTGACTGGCAGTATAATTTTGACTAGATTAAAAATCCAGAGATGAAGTCACAGCCCCACAAGTCCTCAACAAGTTTGTATCAAGTCAAATATGATATTTGACCCTTGGGGGGAAAATAATAGGAATCAGTGTCCTGCAGACCCCCAAATGTAGTGTATACAGAGCAGAAAGCTGACAATGGAGGGGAAAACAGGAAATGAAGGAAGAAAAAAAAGGAAAACCTATTAAATTGGAAAACTATCCTGCCTCAAAGTTTAAGTGCACTGTGTCATTGTGGCCATCCCCTAGGACTTGTGATTGACTTGTGACAAGACTTGTGACTGTCTTGTGACAGGACTTGTGATCGACTTGTGACAGGACTTGTGATTTGACTAGTGACAGGACTTGTGAAATGACTAGTGACAGGAATTGTGATCAACTTGTGACAGAAATTGTGATTTGACTTGTGACAGGACTTGTGATGGGTAAATTTTTTTTCTGAAAAATAAAGGACCCGCATCTTACCTTGACTACGCCGCTGTCATGCATAGTGATACAATTATTAGGATCCCTGGACAGTTGGAAGAGTGCGGTGGCTGTAGCCCGATGCACGTTGATGTCTGGTGACTTGAGGTACTTGACCAGCGGCGCTACGGCACCATTCTGACCAAACGCCACGCGGTTGTTGCCCCACATGCAGCAGCGGGCAATGGCATCGGCTAGGTGACGTCTAAGCTTGTCATCGGTCTGTTGAGGAAATGACAAGGAAACAGGTTTCAGATTGGGTTGCAGTCGTGTTCTTTTAACTACCATTACTTTCAGAATTATGGATGCACAAAAAATTTAGTTCGTAGAAAAGCTGGCAAGCTCAGTGACGGAGTGCATAAAACATCCACACTTGTTACGGGGATAATAATTTCGGGGGCTAATCATCCTTACTCGCAGCTGAGAAGCTGAATTGTGAAGGGCGCGGCTACAATGTGTTTGAGCTGAAGGCATGTAAAGGCGCCTTAGGCTGCCGCCATACAACCCATGTCTGACCACAGAGCACAGCCAGATTGAAAGTGTTAATTTTTGTGGAGGGAGGAAAACAGGAGAGCCCAGAAAAAAAACCTTGTGGCACAGAAGAGAGTCAACAAACAACTCTACTCCTATAGAGGACTGAGCTGGGAATCGAACCTGGGCCACATTGGTGAGAGGCAAGCACTTTATGCACTTTTTAGGTCAATTTTCACATTCTATTATCAGGCATTGTGACTTACAGTAGTGGCTAGTTTGGCCAGCATGGGCACCACGCCGTGATCAGTAATGACGGCCAAATTCTCCTCATCCTTAGCAATGTTTGCGATGGCAGCACAGACACTGGCTAGCACCTCCCTGTCATCTGACTTGAGCAAGCTGACGATGAGCTCCAGACCGCCCACAAAGGAACGCACCATCTCACCCGCATCCTGACAAAAGAAAAGACAAGAAGTGTTTCATTTTATAATCGTCACTGTAGTACTTAAATATTTTATTTGACCAACTGCCCGGCAAACAGGCGGGAGTATGTGAATTAGTTTTTTTTATAGATTGTGTGTCAATGTCAAGTTCTAGAGTCAAATTCTGGAACATCAAATTCCTCGGCAAGTGTGGGTATATAATTTATTCCTCAATGAGCCAATAATTATATCAGCTAGAGTTAACACCCGCTGGAAACAGTATCACATCTTTAAATTCCAGTGAATTAAATTTATTAATTCTATTATCGCAGCGTTAAAATCATTTGACTTTGTTTCAGAGGCTCAGTGATTATTTTGAACCCAACACAAGTCAGATACTAGTGTCCAGACAGAAATGAATGGCTTATTAGCTTGAAAAAAAAATGCCAGAATTAATTAACTTATCAAATGTCTACAAAATGTGAAGTTGCAATGAAAAATGCCTACCTTTGCGTTTTCAATACACGGGCAGATGGCCCAGGCGGCGCTGGCCTGAACTTGCTGGTTCTGGTTCTTGAGTAAAGACCAGAGAAGACGCACACCATCCAGTCTGTCAATGATGCTGCAAAGGGAATCGAGATACAATGTCAGTATAAATAGACTAAGGACTCCATAGAGGAAAGGTACATGACATTGTGTGGCATAGTTACAAGGCACAGGGACAGGTAACACCGATGGTTCACCCCTGCGTTGCCCCTGGGCCACCCCCGATAGTCTAGTGTGAAATGGCCTTCAGAGTATTCCAGATAGCACCTTTACATTCAGTGCAATGGGGACAATACTGTTTAGAATCACTAGCAATCCCATCCAGACAACCTACCCCATATTGTCAGCCTCCGTAGCGCAGGCACCCACCGCCTTTGTGACATTGACCAGCAGGGCTTGGTTGGTACCCGTCAGTAGGTTCACCAGTGGAGGGATGCCACCGGCTTTACGGATGGCCATGCGATTGGACGGTTCCTGGGCTGCGCACTCACCCAATGCTCCTACCACATTGACCAAAACCTGCAATGTCAGACAGAAAGCGTGAACATATGAACCGGTCGTAGCCAAACCAGAGCTTTCAAAATCGGGAGGTTTTGAAAGATTTTTTAAAGATTTATGAGATTTATGAGATTTATTGTTTCGTACAATGAGCTTGATGCCCTTTGAGAGTTGGAGTACAAATAACATGGCAAAGGTCTTTTGTATAATGGAGGCTTTGGGGGGATTCAGGAAGACTCCTAGCAAAAATGCCTTTGAAGACAGGTTTTAAAAAATAATCAAACGAAAAAATATAGGTTAATGATCGTGATGAAACACTATGGTAGTGTTTACAATGAAATTGGGACCGACTCTGAGAGAACAACTAGGCTGATATTCCTGTTGTTTTTAGTAAGTCAACACGATCTGTGCAAATTTCTGTTTCACACAGCTCCTTGAAATTAGCTTAAGGTTTTGCATTCTGTTGAAAAACTGTACCCACAATTACTGCTGCTGACTGCATACAGCTAAGCACCAAGGGAGTCAAGTAACCAGTGTTATAATCAAGGGCGTCAATTGCTTCTCCCAAGGGGGGGGGGGGCATACCTTGATCAGAACTAATGCGAGCGCGAAACGCGAAGCCCTAACAGCGCGGTTTTTAAAAATGTTGCATTCTAGATGCTCTGTGGTGCGATTTGAGGCAATTTCTGACTACTTTAACCAATTTTTTTGAGACAAGGCTCACCATTTAAACTTCATTTTTGAGTTTGGAGTCATTGAATCACCTATTCCGAGCCATAGAATCAACTGTAGGCTACACTTTTTATTAGGAGACGAAAAAAGTGGGGGGACAAACTATATGATATCCCCCAACTTTAAAAAGTGGGGGGGGGGGGGGGGGAACACAACATGTCAACCCCCATCCCCACCCACCGACCCCCATGGTTGTAATTCAGTCCATCACAAGTCTTTGCATGTACTCACAAGTCCATCACAGGCCATCGCCATCCCAACTCACAAGCTATTCAAATGAACTGTGACAAATTCCTTTGTTATTGCTCATCTTCCATTATTTGTGACTGGACTTGCGATTTACTTTGGACCAGATCTGTGATGGACTTGTGATGGACTCAACTACGTGACCAAGAAAAAAAAAAAACTGCAAACCCACCTCCTCTGGCTGTTCATTGAGCAAGCCCACCAGCAGCTCAATGGCCTTCAGCTCCTGGAAGCGTGACACGTTCTCAGGGCTCATGGCACACTTCCAGATAGCTCCGGTAGCAGCTGCCAACAGCTCCTTGTTGTCGGACTTATTGAGCAGCGCCACCATGGGGTCCAGCCCGCCGTACAGACGCACCAGGTCCCGCGTTTCCTTCTCCTCGGCGCATTTGAAGATGGCGCTGGCACAGTGCATCTGCAGCTCTTGGTTCTCGCTGTGCAGGTTCTTGACCAGGTCTTCGATCATGCCCTCGGTGCGGATGGCGAGGCGGTAGCTATGCTGTGAGATCAAGGAGGAGCGGGGTTCATATTGTCAGAGGTTATAAAGCAGGATTGTGGCAAGGACTTTCAAAGAGATGCAGTGGTGAGAGACAAAACACTCCAACCCTGTCCCTGGAACTCAAAGATGCAAAGCAATATTTTAAGCCACGTCTTACGCGGCTATTTTGTGGCTATTGCTTCACTATCTGTCACTGACAAGCTCAAGTAAAAATCCCAAATTACGGATAAAATTCAACAGTTTCGGAGAAAACCTCAAGGCTGTTTCATACTCAGCCCGAAAGCAAACATGAATGCAAATTTGTGACGTCATGGCAAGAATTCGCACGTTTTAAGTCTTACACAAATTTCACTGAGAAATTTGCTTGCATTTGCATGAAGAATGAACCGCCCTTGAGTCTGAGTAAAACCTAGCCCATCTGGTAAGGACTCTCAACTAAATGGCCAAACAGGAATCAAACCAAAGTTTTTTTTAGAAGTGGAATCCGAGGAGAGACTGTCTTTACCAACCTGCATGAAATACATGTATTCACAGGCTTTCCCCTTGTTTTTAAGTACATACATATTTAGCAAACTTGGTCGAGATTGCCTTTTTAATCAAACTTACCTCAGATGAGCACTCTTGCAGTGTGCCCACAACCGGAATAAGCATGTCCTCGTGCCGTGCCTTGAGCAGCCGTGCCAGCAGGGGGATCCCGCCGGCCTTGCGGATGGCCTGCTTGTTCTTGGTGCTCTTGCTGCAACTCCACAGAGCGAGGGCGCCACACTTGGCTACTTCAACGTCCTTCTCCGACTCCGGGGTGACTGGGACGGAACCAATGGGGGCGCAGTCCAACAGGGCAACCTGGTTGGAAGGGGAAAACCAAGGGGAAGTTAAGTTGGGTTTTTTTTCAGGTAATGTTTGAATTGACTTGATTTCATTTTGATCTCCAAACATCGCAAAATATATTAACAAACAAAACTTTCAGAGAATACATTAGGATCAGGTGATGATTCGGGGAGATTGGTGGAAAGTCAAAGCCATGGAATCAGTTCGAGACTGAAAATCAATTTTAACAGGGAATTTTTTTCTCTACAAAAAAGCAGCACTCATCAAACATGAACCTACTTACTTCCTGTGTATGTTTTCATTTATCATCCATTTCTCATCAGAATGGCAATTCCAGCATTGTGTAAAACGTCCGTGACGGAGCTTTCAAGAGCTCAGTGGATAAAGTCTGAAAATTCATCCATCATCTAGTAATGGTCAAGGAGAATACAGACTAGGAGCTTTGGATCATTTCTCTCAGTCGTTAAGGGAGGAGATCAAAAGGATTTGTCCCGTTCCGACGCGAGCGCCCGCGTTCCTCCCGTTCTGAACGGGGATTAACTCAACCCAACAATAGGCCCGTTCTCCCGGGGCAGAACGCCCGGCTTACCAGGCGCCCAGCGAAGAACCCGAGCTCATTAAAAGTCTCATTGTGTGCGTCCTTTGTTATGTTAATGTCCCGTTCTCCCGCGCGCACGGCCGCCAGCAACGGCAGAGGTATGTGAAAAACGGTGATGTAAACGCATGAACAGAATACAGGTAAGTGGGAGTCGGACGGTGAGACAGCAATTCTTCACGGCGGATCTACGTCGGAAGAATATTTTAGATGGCCCAATAATGAATGGTCAATGCAAACGGACGTGAAATATAAACTTCTATGTTGGGTAGTTGATAATTGTACTGTTGGGCCCAATAATGAATGGTCAATGCAAACGGACGTGAAATATAAACTTCTATGTTGGGTAGTTGATAATTGTACTGTTGGGCCCAACTGTAAACTTGTTCCACTTGAAATGATGGGTCGAAACAGTTTATAAATCAATTATTTTTAGGCGGCTTGTTTGAAACAAAAATCATGAGATCAGGCGATTGAGTTGTGATGTGAGAAAATTGAGTGATTTATTTTTTAAAATATATGTATTTACACAAAAGTCCCTCTCGACTTTATACCAAAATAAGATCATATAAAGAAAATTAAACTAGCTGAGAACTATGAACATGTATTTACACTAAAAGTTCTCATACCAAAATAACATAATAGTGAAGGTATGATCATACTACGAAAATAAAACTAGCAGAGAACTATTTCGGCCGTCAAAATGTACTAATGTGCGCCTTCTTAATACGGTGGCTTATCATTATTCACTCCGAAAATGGTTTTGGGTTACGATACATCGAACGAAAAAAAAATTACCAACGTTAGAATAATAAGCTTACAAATTTCAAAATACATGTGGCTCAACATAAACCTAGCTGGCGCAGGGCTGATCTTTTCATAGAGTTGTATAAAAAAGTGTACTGAAAGCAGATAATAGCAATAGTGATCGTTAAAAATGTTGAAAACGCGATAATTATTATTATATTGATATATTTCGGCCCTCAGAATGTACTAATGTGCGCCTTTTTTTCATTACGGTGGCTTTTCATTATTCACTCCAAAAATGGTTTTGGGTTACGACGCATCGAACAAAAAAAATCCCAACAACGTTAGAATAATAATTTACAAAAGTCACCAAAATAACATAATGGTGAAGGTATGATCATACTACGAAAATAAAACTAGCAGAGAACTATATTTCGGCCGTCAAAATGTACTAATGTGCGCCTTCTTAATACGGTGGTTTATCATTATTCACTCCGAAAATGGTTTTGGGTTACGACACATTGAACAAATAAAATCTCACCAACGTTAGAAAAATAAGTTTACAAATTTCAAAATATATACAATTGTGGCCCAGCATAAATTTAGCTGTCGCAGGGCTGACCTTAACTGTCAAAATACGCTACACGCGTAAGGAAGCAGCAACCTTCCTACACTTTCCATTCAGGCTGTCTCTGATCTTGTTGAGACCGGCCTCATCAAAGTCCCGCGGGAAGTCGAGTTTGGCCTGTGCGTAGATGGCCTTGAAGGTGGGATGTTTTCGGAGAGCCTCTTTCCGAACCCAAGTCTTCCCGTTGAATACATTTCCACCGTGGAAGTTGGAGCGTGCCAGCTCATCCGGCCGGATGAGTCTCCCTACCAGTTTTATGATGAGGTCCTTGGCATTGTTCACCTTCGCGAATACGTCGTCAAACTCGCTTTTGGTCATAACGACCGAGTGTTCGTTAGACCCTACCAGCACCCGTTCGTCCTCGAGTTGGCAATAGTTCGGCTCTCGACCGCTGAGCGGGCGAGATCCCCGTTTCTCCTCCTTGAGCTCCTGGACTTCCGCTCGTAGCTCCTCCACAACCCTTGTAAGGCCGTCCAGCTTTGATAGAATCAAAGCATTCTGAGTGATGATGCTTTGCTGCAACTGACGATCTCCCATGAATGACAGATCGAGCAGCAGTGACGAGTCGTTTGCTGTCTCGCCCGGGGGCAGGGTGGTGGGTTCCGGGACGGCTGGGTCTTCGTCCGGGGGCTGGGTGGTGGGCTCCGTGACGACTGGGGCTTCGTGCGGGGGCTGGGTAGTGGGTTGTGGGACGGCTAGGGCTACGTCCGGGGGCTGATGGGCGGTGGATTCCGGGACGGTTAAGACTTCGTCCAGGGGCTGGATGGTGGGTTCCGGGACGGCTGGGGCTTGGTCCGGGGGCTGGGTGGTGAGTTCTGAGATGGCCAGGGCTTCGTTTGGGGGCTGCCTGGAGACGTTGGAGGCCATCTTAAGAGCAGCCAGCGGTACGTCATCATCATCATCGTCTGAGCTATCTACAAGTCTCTCTGAAAATAAAGCACAGAAATACGCAAAATAAGGTCCACAATTCTCAATTGTGTAAATTCAGGAATAAACACTACGTAAATTGGTTCTACTGAAAGAGATTGAATTATACGACATGTATGATCTTGTTTTGTAAAACAAAAATAGGAGAAAGGATGGTGCACAAAATTGGTAAAGTTATTACTCTACAACTACGATGTATAATTGGAACAATGCGGTAAGCTAATTAGAAAGTTGTCATTTCAACCAGACATGTCAATGACGGCGATTTGACATCGAATGACACACTTGCATCAGTTGTTGAGCCTACCATGATGATAAACTAAGACTTAAACACGGGAAATCTACCAAGCCGATTTCTGAATGGTAAAACCGGATATGCACCGGCATTACTTTTCACACGTTATTAAAAAAAAAAAAAACCAAATATTCTTTTACTGAACCGGGGAAAGTAAACTTACTTTTCTCGCTGATCTGCACAACTTCTGCCTTGTGCTGACTAGATTTGTAGGCCACCTGGACTTCCATGCCGACCTCCAGTGGGCCACAAGTCTTGACTCTGCCCCTAGGGACTGATTCTTCAACGCCGAACCATTTCGAATTCAGCCACTTTATTATAACTTTAGTTGAAGACATGATAAGACTGCAGAGTACGTGTTCACTGATCAGGAATCGCAAGAGAAATGAAGAGTGAAATACATGTAATAGAGGTGCATCGCCTTCGTTTCAAAACGCATGTCCAAGACCACGTTTGCGTAGTAATTGTGGATTTGTTCGGTGAAGTGTTGAAAATTGTATGGACGCAAAACATTTACCGCTCCCTTTGTTGTTTCCGAAAAGTTAATGACTGCTTCGGTCCATGCATGTACGCGTCAATAGTTCGATCAATATCTCAAGCATGTGATCAGTGACTACGCATTTTGGGAAATTAAGTCATTAGCAGCGAGAGCCATGATGCAGAGAAAAACTGTAAACCTTTTGTTTGCCCCAAACCACCCCAGGGCAGATCCTGCCCCAGACGTAAGGATTGGAATGTTTTTCGTGCACCAGGGGTGGGACTTTGGTAAAGTTCGAGTGCATATAAAAATCGGTACTAAACGGGTGGGGCAGCCCGGGGAGGGGAAGGAAATCAATTGATCGGTGCATAAACATGAACAGTGATAGGGAACGCTTAAAATGATTTTAAGAGAAATGAGGATATTACTTCTATCAAATCTGGCTATCAAATCATCTCCATCCATCACAACATTTATGACAAACATAAAATCTCACCTATACAAGCAAGCTTACTCTCACAACACACAATCCTAACTTGACTTTCTCCTTGAAGCGCCATGAGCGCCTTTTTTTAGGCGGATACCGGCGCTTTACAAATGTTCTTTATTACCATTAATATTATTTTGTGGAGGGGGAAATGGGGGGGGGGGGGGGGACTCAAATCAAAAATTTAACTTGTTCATTTTATCAAAGAAATCACAAGGGAAAATCATTTTTAAATATTTTTTCCCATAAACCGTTCAGAAAACATCTTAATCATGAACCCATATATACATATGCACTTGAATATACTGGGCACTCAATTAGGTAAGTTTGTTTTATTAACGAGCCAGGCTTTTAATTGCTGTGGATTAACAGTGGAGCTTTTCCTGGCTTTTCCATTTTGGAACAATTCCAACCCAGTTATTGGACAGTGTCATGCGATTGGTGCGGTCGCCATACACACACGTCGAATGATTGACACACGGCCAACCAGCGGCTGTGGTTTCCAGCCTTTGAAGGTCCCGCCACACCATGATGACAAAATCAGTTGTGAGACAGACATGTCATGCTATTGGCGCGGTCGCCCTACACACACGTCGAATGATTGACACACGTCCAATCAGAGGCCGTGATTTTACTGCCTTTGAAGGCCCCGCTACACTGTGATGACAAAATATTGGTCAGGGGCATTCTTTCATTCAGTGTGCGTGTCAACTTGCTTTGTATGAAAAAACCCCACATGTTATACTGGTGTCTTTACTTATAAACTAGACTATTTCAGGCAAAGGTATAGGCCTAGCTACAACGTATTTTGCTTGCATGTACATAGTTCTGATATAATGTCTCTTGTAAAGTGTTCTG